GAGGAGGAGGAGGAGGAGGAGGAGGAGGAGGAGGAGGAGGAGGAGGAGGAGGAGGAGGAGGATGAGGAGGAGGAGGAGTTTTTATGGTTTCCCCCCTGTGGACGCCGAACGTGCCAGCTGCAGAGGTGCACTAAGCATTGTTCTCACTCCCGTGCGTGAGGAAACCCAGATCCTTGAGGGCCCAGCACTCAAGGACGACCTCCTTCCTCCCATTTCTGGGGTGGAGGCCACGCTCGAAGCGGCTCCGCCGCTCCTTGCCCATCTTGTCCAAGGCAAAGCCAGGCTGTTTCGCTGGGCAGCTTTTGGCCAGGCCGACAAGGTGCAGCTGGGCATACTGCGCGCATTGCGCACAGTACAGCAAGACGTCACCCTGCCCAGGTGAGCAGCGTCAGGACCAATCACCGCACCCCACAAGACATGAGAGCCTGCGAACTCTGGCAGGCTCCTCCAGCTCTTCGGCGCCTCGCGCCCACACTCGGGGGCCATCCCAGCCTTCCAGCTCCAGAATCCGTGCAAGCTCTGAACGCACCGCCAGCGGCCGTCCGCCACCCTGTGCAGATCGTGCTGCAGAAGGCATGGGCGCGCACACGTCGGGGGCCGCTCACGCGGGGGCAAGTGAGCCCACTCCACCTTGGGAGCAGGCCCACACGCCAGCACCCGCCCCAGGTTCGACAGTCCACGCCGCGCCTCAGCGCAGGCATCCTCCAGGGCGGCTTCGTTTTGGGCCCACCTGGACCACAGGTTGAGTACTTCCTTGGCCGCCTCGTCGGCCCAGGAGTCGAGGACCACCCGCCACTCACCCTCCGTCGGAGGGGCGGCGGGGACGTCCTGCTGTGCCTTCACCTTGAAGAGACCCACACTGTACGCGCGGTCGCCGCGCCGAACTCGGCGCCAGTGCCCAGCATCATTCCACGCTGGGCTGGTGGTGCACGCGCACCCGCGTGCCTGGGCGGCCAACACCGCCGCATTGTCACCAACATACGGCTGGCTGTCGTCTGCATAGTCTGCCCCTCGGCAGTAGGCTTGCAGTTCGGCCGCGTGAACGAAGGGAGGGAGCTGAGAGGTGAGAGAGCCGATGAGCTTCCGAACAGTCCCGTCCCGACCCCGCTGAACCACCACCCATCCCGCCCTTGGGAGCTCCCCAAGGGCTGACCCGACACCCGCAAGAGGCAGATCGAGAGGGGGGCGGGGGAGGAGAAGGCGGAAAATGAGGAGGAGGAGGATGAGGAGGAAGAGGAGGAGGAGGAGGAGGAGGGGGAGGAGGAGGAGGAGGAGGAGGAGGAGGAGGAGGAGGGGAGGAGGAGCAGGAGCAGGAGGAGGATGAGGAGAAGGAGGACGAGGAGGAGGAGGAGGAGAGGAGGAGGAGGAGGAGGAGGAGGAGGAGGAGGAGGAGGAGGGGGGGAGGGGAGGGGGGGAGGAGAAGGAGGGGGCTTCGTGGAGCCTTGTTTGGGGCTTCCTGGGGGCCTCCTGGGAGCTTCCTGAAAGCTTCTTGGGGGCCTCTTGGAGGCCTTATGGGGCTTCTTCGGGGCGTTTCGGGCCTCTTGGGGCTCTGGGCCCGTCTTACGCCTATGGAGGCCGCCTTGTGGGTTCTCTCTAGGCCACGTTGGTGCCCTCCTGGAGCGGCCCACGGCCGTCTTGGGCCCTCTCGGGAGCCTTTGGGCGATCTTTGGGGGTCCTCTTGGGCCGACTTCGGGCCCTCTTGGGAGCCTCTTGGGCTGTCTTGGAGCTATTTTGGAGGTCTCTTGGAGGCTTTGTGTGCCGTCTTGGGCGGTCGGAATCCCGAACAGGCGAGAACCTCAAGATCTTAAACCGATGGGCAATCACTGGTTTTGGCCTCCTCCGACTATGCAGGAGGGCCTCTTGGAGACCTCTTGGGCCGTCTTGGGGGCTTCTTGATCTGTCTTGAGGCTGCCTTGGGAGCCCCTTGAGACGCCTTGGGCCATCTTGGGCCATCTTGGCGTCATCTTGGCTGCTCTGAAATCCGTCCTGGAGGCCATGAGGCTCCCAAGAAGGTCTCAAGGCAAATCAAGAGGCCCCCAAGACGGCACAAGAGGTCTCCAAGAGGCCCTCCAGGAGAGCCCGAGGAAGCCAACACCATTGATTTCCCCCCTCAGGATTTTGACGGATTTCGAGGTTCTGGCATGTTTGGGCTTCGACCGCCCAAGGCAACCAAAGAGGCCTCTCTGGCCCGTCGTGTTGCCCTCTTGGAGCGCTTCACGGATGTTTTTGGGGCCCTCTTTGGGATCCTCCTGGGCGATTTTTGGTTTGTTGGGGCCCTCGTGGGAGTCCTTAGGGAGCCATCTTGGAGCATATGCGGGGCCTCCGGGACCCTCCTGGGCTGTCAGTGGCGCCTTGCGGGCCGTATGGCGGCCATCTTGGGCTGGGTGGGACCCAAGTTGGGTCATCACGGGTGGGACCCAAGTTGGCTATTTTTGATGGCTTTGGGACCGTCTGGGGTCCTCCTGGGCTGTCTTGGGCCGTCCCGGGGCACTCCTGGAGGCCTCTTGGCTCGTCTCGGGTCGCTGGTCAGGGCCTCGGAGCCATTTTGCCACAAATGTAAGTTTTCCATTGGTCTCATTTTGGCGTGGTGGGGCCCTCGTGGGGGGTCTCTGGGAGCTCTCGGGTGGCGTCTTGGAGGCTTCGTGGGCCGTCCTGAGGCCATCTTAGGGCGACTGGGTGCCATCTGGAATCGTCCAGGAACCCCCAAGCCCCCCCTCCAGACTGGCCGGACGGAGCTCCCCGGGGAGGTGTTTGGGGAGGGGCAACAGTCTCACACGGCGGAAACGTGCCTTTTCTGCCGCGTGGGCGCCCAAGGCTGCTCGAGAGGATCCCAAGACCGCTTGAAGACGGTCCAAGGTGGTCCATAGGACGGCTTTGGAGAGCCCCCGCAAGATGGCTGGTCGAGAGGGGCCCACGATGGCCCATGAGGCCCCAAGACTGCTCGAGGGGCCGCCAAGGCCGCCCAAAAACAGCCGCAAGAGACCCCCGAGACGGCCCGGGAGGCCCCCAAGCCAGCTTCAAAATTGCCTCAAGAGATTCCGAGGGTGCACTTGCATGCCCCTGCCTCTCACCCTTCTCTCGTTCTGGGGGTGCTGCGCTCCATCCTCCTGTCAGCACACTTCCCCGCGTCCGAGCAGAGGACAGCTTCACGGACGGAGTGAACTCCCAGTTCTTCTTGGATGCTTCGCGCGGCCGCTTCACAGTGAACGGAGAGGCCCCGTGTTGCCTCGGGGCGATGCCAGAGCAAAGTGTCGCCCTTGGCAGCACGCCTGGGGCATCAGTATTGGTTGCCTTGTAGATTGTGGTTGTCGGACGGGGAGGGTGCAGGGATGAGAGGCAATTGTCTTGGGTGTCGTGGAGAGCTCTCACGTGCTCCTGTTTTGCTTTCTCGTCTCTTGGGCGGGAGGCTTTCTTTTATTGTCGTCGTTATTATTGCTGTTGTTGCTGCTGTTGTTGTTGCTGTTGTTGCTGCTGCTTATGTTGTTGTTGTTGTTGTTGTTGTTGTTGTTGTTGTTGTTGTTGTTGTTGTTGTTGTTGTTGTTGTTGTTGTTGTTGTGTTTGTTGTTGTTGTTGTTGTTGTTGCTGTTGTTGCTGTTGTAGTTGTCGTTGATTTGATCACACCGATCGTGTGGTGTTGGATCTACATGCGCATCTGCATCACATGCATCTACATCCAATGCGCATGCATGACACTGTGGACGAGGAGTCGGACGCTGGCCCAGGTGGTTGCGCCTCAGTGCAAGCATCGTGTTACTATGACTCGGTTGTGTGTTGCGAGGTGGTGTATGGGTGTGTGGGCAGCTTCAGCGTTCGGGCTGGCCCGGCGGGCCTTAGTCGGCGTTGAAACCCAACCATCCCTGCGCTGGTCCGCTTCGGCGATGCCTGCTTCAGCTTGACCGGTAGGCTGCAGAACACCCTCCTGCAGAGAGCTTGTCCTCGGGCCTCCATCGCAGAAAGCCTTTCTCTCCGCCATTTACCTCTCTTCCCTTGCTAGTGCCACCCGCAGGTCTTCTGCTTCCAGGATGCGGCCGGCGAGGACGAGGCTTCCTTCGTGGCCCGGCTGGAAGCTGCAGTGCGCGCCGTTGCGCCCGCGGTGCCGGCGGGATATTTGGGCGGGATGGACGCCGATCTGGAGGAGGCCATGCAAGTCCGAGGGATATGAGCTCCCACAGTTTGCACACGTACGCGGCCACCTACAGTCGCGACCGATGGGTAGGTTGACCCTGCAAGTTCAAGGGTACCCACAGGTAGCCTGGCAGGCCTGATGCAGGAGGCTGAAGAGGAGAAGGAGGAGGAGGCGAATTACTACGAAGATTAATACTAAGATGAATCTACGGATGAACATGAAGACGAATATGATGACAATGATGATGAGGATTTTGATGATGATGATTATGACTATGATGATGATGCTGAGGACGTTGATGCTGATGCTGATGATGATGCTGATGATAATGATGCTGATGATGCTGATGATGATGGTGATGATGAAGTTGATGATGATGCTGTTGCTGCTGATGACGATTATGATGATGCTGCTGATACTGATGATAACGATGGTGATGATGCTGCTAATGATGATGACGATGATGATGACGACGATGATGATGACCATGATGATGCTGATTCTTGTACGGATGATGGTGATGATGGTGATGATGGTGGTGGTGATGATTATGATGCTGAAGCTGATGAAGATGGCTAGGATGATGATGATGACCATGATGATGATGATGCTGCGGATGCTGATGTGGATAATAATGCTGCTGATGATGATGATGGTAATGGTGATGCTGCTGCTGATGATGATGATGATGCAGACGATGATGATGATGATGATTATGATGATGACGACGATGATGATGATAATGATGATGATGATGATTATGATGCTGATGATGCTGCTGCTGATGATGAGGATGAGGATGAGGATGAGGATGAGGATGATGAGGATGATGATGATGATGATGATGATGATGATGATGATGATGATGATGATG